CCATTACAGGCCCGGGAGCTGGAGCGGGAACCCGCCGCGGGCGGCGGCCCGTCCTCCTCCTCCCGGCAGTCAGGTTGTAAAGCAAGCCCGGTTGGAAGCGTAGGGAGCGGGCCTCACGGGCCTTGCCGTGCAAGCCAGTTCCTCTGAGCACAGCTGGCCCTGAGCGTGCTCACCGGTGTTAGAAAAATCTCCTTCCCTCGCTATTAGGTCAATCCGTCTTTACAGTATGAAAGCGTATTAGCTTTGTAAATGTACAGTAGTTCACGTTATGCACTGCAAGGTAAGGAGGTAGTGAAATCTTACTGGAGACTTTGGTATTGTTCCTGCTTAAGTAAAACAAACTAAAGGAGAGCCCGGCCCTGGGCATAAGGCCTGTGCCGCGTGGAAGCTTAGAGCTGCCTGTGAGGGATAAAAGATCCCCCTGAACAACCGAGGTAACACCAGCATGCTAGCCTCTCCGGCATGGCTTTGAAACCCTCCCAGCAGCATATACAAGTAACTCCAGGCAAGACCGACTCCAGGGATGTCTGGATCAGTAGACAAGTAGCAAGAATGCTGCAGAAACAGGCTTGCTTTGCAAAGTTTTCCTATGATTAGCGATCAGTAGTGTGGGTGTTAGGGATTAGTGAAATCATGTTGTACTTGAATGCTTGAAGGGTGTAAGATCCCTGTGTAAAACCACATTTGGGGTGCTCCGATTTTGCTGGGACACCCCATGCGGATAAATACCCTTGTAATTCTAGACTTTGTGTCCCAGTCTCCTCGGTCAGCACGGGCCAGTTGCAAATTTTCATAACATGGCATGTTGCCCTCACCGCTGCCGAGACGGCGTTTTCCATCCTGTTACACCTCTCCCCAGCACGGCTCTTATCACAGCAGCAGGAGATGTGCTTCCTAACTTTGTGCTGAAGTCCAAGAACAGCAGAACTGCACGTAATTCTCCTACCTATATTTTACAGGCTCATTTTCAGACCATCAAACATTGCGTTCCTTCCTCTTCATCCTCTGGGCAGGAGATGTTCCTGTTCACTTTATCTGAATCGTTCCTGCTTCGTTCATAAATGCAGAGCACTTACTTGTTTGGAAACCTTGTGACTTAAAAGCTGAGTTTTTTTGGACGGAGCTTGTTCTACTATGTAAAATTTGGTTAAAAATTAAACAGGATTTTTCTCCAGTTATTAAGGAACTGACAGCTTCGTTCAACACACAGGGAATCCTCCGGCTTTTGTTCCAGTATTAGCAAACCGCTTCCAATTTACACAGGTCTGGCTTTGTTGTTGAAAACTGCCTGTTACAGTGTAGGGCAGTGGATGGGCTCTAACATGGCGCCTCCCAGGAGCACAGCCAAGCAATAAGGACCTTTACAAGACACATTTCAAGCTGTGCTGAAGTTGGACCAGAAATTATTTTGCTCCCACTCCTAATCAAGAGCAAAAAAAGGAAAAGAAGTTTTCCCTAACGTGAATTAGCCCAAGCAATCAAGCTCTCCAATTCTGAGAAAGCAACTGGTCATGTATTTTGCTTAAATGCATATTTGTGCCTTTTACAGCTTTTTTCCTTTTTCTTCTTTAATATCTCTAACTGAAAAGTTGCTTCATGCAGGGTTAAAAAACATTTGCTTTCTTAAGGAAAAGCAGAACCAAGTGGAACACCTGACAATTTCAAACCTTTTCCTTATCTGCCAGGATGCTTTGCTTTGGACAATGTCCAAACACACCTCTCCCACTGCCAGCTGCCGCTTTTTTCCCCCTAACTCAGCCAACAGCATCAAGCCAGCCTTAGCATGCACTGGCTGCACCCACAGCAGTCGTGATCGGTCCCTGGGGACGGCACTTGCACCTCCCAGCACCTCCACGCCAGATTCCAGCGCGTGGGAAAAGGACACAAATCCCCGCTGAGGTCGGCATCGGTACGAGGCTACATACACCGCTGCCAGCCCGCATTCACTGCCTACACGTTGCTTCTTAAGCCTACTGACATCCCTCATGGCCACAGCAAACCAACAGTGGTGCCATCCAGGCTGCCCCGGAGCCATGAACACAATCCCATGAACTGTGCTTCTCAGGGAAGCCTCCGTCCTTCTCCCTCCTGCACTGCCATCCCGTGGTCGACAGCCTGCTGGTTCAAGGGTGTTTGTGTGTCTGAAAAGCTCTCTGTTTCCCCCGGCCCTTTGAGTTACTGGGTCTGAAGAGATACATACCTCCCTCAGGCACGGCCTTTCTGCCCACATAGCTATGGATCTTGGATCTATAAATCTGAAGCAGTTTCCAGTATCACTTAATCTGTTCCTCATGAAATTCTTTGGCATTTGAATATCAGCATTTCTTTCTCTGCATGGAAATAAACCAGAACACAGAAAAGATGCTAAATATGCCCAAGGCGCTAAAGAAGCCTTGTACAACCCGTTTTAGAGAAATACGAAGTCAGAAACATGTTGTGGTTGCACTCCCACTTAAAACAGTGGGAAATGGGAACATTTGCTTTTAGTGAAGGATTCCACCACCAGAAAAACCCCAAGCCACCTTTTAGATGATACAGTAGCAGCATCTATGGTGGCCATGGATGGCTACTTCACTTACCAAGTCCTCAGCCCTGGGGTGCCACTGCATAACACCAGCAGCCAGAGGAAACAGCAGCCCATTGGCGAGACATTCACACCTGCAGCAGTCCAGAACAACTGTCAAAAGAAAAAGAATTAAAGAATATTCATGCCAAGGTCTTTGGGAAAAAAAGGGCCCTCAGGAGCAATGGGCACACGTGAGGTCCTGTGGTGGAGAGAACACAGTCTCCAGATAGCCCGGTTCAGCCAGGGCAGTGCTGGCCAGGCTCTGTCCCAGCATCTGAACATCTTTGTGGCGTTATCTGCCCTGTGTTTGGGCAGGATGGGATTTTCCTGTCCCTCAGACACCGTGGCCGTGGGAGCCAGCCCCCTCGCAGCGCCCCAACCAGGGAGATGGACCTCAGCCCATGTGCTGCCACCCCGCCACAGGCAGCACCCCGGTGTCACCACCTGCTTAAGAGACACGGCCAGGAGTGTGACTCCTGCTTTTCTTCAGATGACCACCTGAGGGCAGGCTGAGGCCTCCTCTGCCAGCCTTCAGTTTTCTAAAGATGGAGAAATAAGCAGGAAAATTGGATAAAATGCAACATGATTTCATTAAAGATGAATCATGCCAAACTAGCCAGCTTCTTTGTTAAGACTACTATAACTCTGGGCAAAAAAAGCGTTGAGCTAGCCCCTTTCAAATACCGCTTCCCAGCTTGCAACCTAGACGTTAGACAGTAATTCTCAGCAAGCCCTTCCCTGGGGTTATTTGTATGACTATGAATCAGGAAGACACCAGAAGGACCAGGATCTGCCACCTCTATCATAACAAGAGAGCCTTGCATTGCCAGCCCTGCCAGGGCGGCGATCCCTGCACGCTGCAAGGCAGCACACAGCCACGTTGGGCAGCAAAGCTATTGCATAGCATCAGACCCACCCAGAATTCAGGTGGGTCATTCTTGCATGAAATTACAGCCAACCTTTGCCTTCAAGCCCAGTTCAGAAAGCCCTGAACTTCTCGCTCGAGTGAGTGGGTCTAAGTTTAGCAACTAAACTGAATGTTTATCACTCTGTATTGAAAACCTCAGTTCTCACGTGTCCGGTTAATATTTAAACTGCTGAGCACACCTGTCTCTAGACACACTTTTGCAGTTTTAAGAATATACCAACTGGGGGACAGCGTGCTAGGCTTCAGAAAGCCACGATGAGACTGTTTTCCTGGAAAAGCTGAGGTTCTCAATGAGACCAGTGGTGGGAAGAAGTATTTGCCGTCTACCGAGGAAGCACCAAGAGATGTGGAGTTGGTCAAGGCAACACGCACAAGCTAAGATGGAACCAGCAACCGCACCCAGGTCTCCCAGTTGCTAGCAGCACTCTCAGAACAAGGTCATCCTGTCTCCATGACCACCATGATCCCAGCACGGGTCTTCCACAGCTGTTTTGTGTCCCATCCCAATACACCCCGGAGATGGAGGCAAGGGGCCTTGAGCAACCAACCCTGCAATGCTTTGGCATATGTCAACCCAACCGGCTGGGATGGGACAGCCACCCTGTTATTGCCGCTTTGCATCCAGAGAGCACAGCAGGGATTTAGGCAGCCTAAGCAGACAGCTACAAGGAGCCAAAACTTGCTGGTGAAGATCAATGTAGTCCAGAGTCTTGCTGTCCATATTTCCCTTGTTGCTGCTGTGGAGGAGGCAGCTGCAGCCAGTTCAGGCGCTGCAGAGGGGACCAGGTCCACCAAAGAGCTCAGCTGATGACAATGACATGGTCCCATTGCTTCCATGGGGAGATGCTGCTTTACATCAGCTGAAGATGTAGCTTGCTGCCACATCAGTGATTGTCTCTCTGACTAATGACTTCGTCCTCCCATGTGTGCCAAACCCATTTATTTATAGCCCACAATTTTTTTCTCCCACCAGCCTTTGTGCTTGTTTTCCTTTCTTACAGTGTTAAGATGGGAGAAAAAGATCTTTTCTTCAAGTAAATCTCTCACTGACCTAAATGCAAATTTGTTCAAGCAAATTCAGAGAGCTTTGATCCTGTGTGAGTAAGAGGGGAAAGGGGACGGGAGCAGACGCTGCTGCTATCGGAACGGATCTTTACTGCTGCGTAACAACTAGGCAATGAAGCAAAAGCCATGGGAGTTTAAAGAGGAAGCTCAGCCAAGGGTCACCTGGCTGTCCTGGGTGCTTGTTATCAGAGCCTTGAAAAGAGGGAGGAAGGTGACATGAGCTGATAATAGCAACAACTGGAGAAGGCCGAAACGGCTGGGGGGGCCCGTCCCCCCCCCTCAGCACTCGGCATGCAGGGGTGCTTTGCTGTTGTAAAGCAAAGGGTTGGCAGAGCCTGGGCTCTGGAGCTGCTCAGACCACTAAGAGAAAATTTGTCTGTCTCAGAGCCAAAGCATCTGCTAGGCAGAGAGCCAGAAAGCGCCCTGTTAATTGCAATACCGTATTTTATTTACTGCCTTGTCTTTGCTGGTGATTTTAGTACTTTCACTGCTCATCCATATAGCTGAAGTGGTGAGGGGAAGGGTGACAAGGGGACAGAGACATACTGACACGAGGACATATCCTGGAGCGCCAGAGGAATACACTGCTACTCCCTGCATGAAGCTATACAGTTCTTCAGCCATCCAAGAAAGGTGGAGGGAAGGGAGCTCATAGATGCCTACAGTTTCCAGAACTGGCCTAAAGGAGGAGAAAGATTCAGGAGTGAGAAATCCTGGCAAGCTGGATCCATCAGCAGAATCCAGATCCATCCAGAATCCCATCAGCAGCTTTCTGGGCATCTGCAAAGTTGCCTCTGACCACTTAACGTTGGTTCTAGTGTCTTAAGCCACTGTAAGATCTTGAAATCTGTTACAGGACTGTAGATCATACCCACCCAGCCAGTTGGGTTGACATATGCCAAAGCATTGCAGGGTTGGTTGCTCAAGGCCCCTGCCTCCATCTCCAGGGCATATTGGGATGGGACACAAAACAGCTGTGGAAGACCCGTGCTGGGATCATGGTGGGTCATGGGTCACCCTTCCAGTACAGGTGGCCCCAGCTCTGCTGATCTTGCTGACCAAGGGCAGGCAGCTGCTTTCAGTCCCTGAACTTTCTCTGCTGTTGCCTGCAGGGGTGAGCGGAGTTCAGGCTTCACTGAACTCACAATTGCATCAACCCAGAACCCAAAGTGCCTGGAGACTGGTACTAGGAAAACACGAGCTGAGTTCACAGGAGTGAAGCTGAGACCTTTGGGACATGGAGTTCCCCACTCGTGGGGCACACGCCCAGCGTCCGCACCTGGCAGGGGCATTGCCGCACAGACCCTGGCGCTGGGGCAGGCCTGGCCAGAGCGGGTAATGTTGCACAGTCCAGCACCACCCACCTAATAAACCAGAAAGGTATTATCAGCCTGAATAGTGCTAGAGGAGCATGCTTTGAGTTCTTCATCTCTCTCCATTAGGCTGCTTTCCAGACGACAATCACTGGGCTGGATCACATTTGGCCTTAACTTTTAAGCCTATAATCTTGTCAAAAGTCTTTGTCCAAAATATCCAAAGTCCGGGTTCCTCACTCTGCAGACTAGAGGAGGGTATCAGTCTGCCCCTGCTAAAGGATATTGAGTTTCCAGGCAAAGTATTACATGGGAAGAGCCAAAAGGATCCACACTCATCCATGCTGAGAGCAGAGTGGGCAGGAGGACGTCGACCTTTCTAGAGAAACTCCTGTTGACAGCACTGAGTTTGGTCAGCACGGGCAAGCACACAACTGTCTGGTCCTTCTTCTAAACCTCTACGCTCCCGGTGGCCTTGCACCTCCTGAAGACCCAGGGTGGCCGTCTGCTCTCCTTTCCACACCATTCCTGCATGCATACCTACAAAAGCAGGCATCTGTTGCATTTGCTGCCTTTACATGCTGAAGGGAAAGATGCATCTGTTCACAAAATGTCACAGCAGCCCTGGTTCCAACCAGCATTAACTCTGTGGCATCTACCTAACCATCTCCCCTGCAGCTTCTTTCTCCTCTCTGAACAGCTTGTAGAGTTACTAAAGCCAGACCCTTCTGCAGTGAATTTAACTTCATGAGGGGACAGCGGTCCTTTGTATTTCCAAGCCAGTTCGAGGCAGACAGAACCGGAGAGGCTGTGCAGCCCACTGCCCACCACCCAAACCAGTTGCTTCCTTGCACGGATCATTTCCCCTTCCAACATCTCATCCTCAGAGAGAGGAAGAGGCACCTGGCTGCTCTTCTGTGCAGTGCTAACAGGAGCTCAGCCTTTGCTGGACCTCTTGGCGCTACCATGACATTGGCGCGTGCTTGTGATGGGACGTCTGTCTTGCTAAGACCACTAAAGGACAAGTGGGAACATTAAAGCCACAGAAATATGCAAGAACAGTGTTTTCCACTGTCCAAACAGCACAGGACAACTGGAAAAGGTTTATTGTTCAAACAGTTTGTTACCAACTCTATTTGGCTCCATTTATTACTAACTCTATTAGACTCTCTTTATTTCTAATGCCATTAGGCTCTATTCACTCGCTAGTGACTATCCCTACCCTAACTAGTATGTGCCACGCTGGGTCCAGCCCCATCACCTGCAGCTGCAGTGTTGGCGGTGCAGGAGCAGGTGGGACAATGTGGGGCTGTTGGGCTTTAGCCGTGGGGTGGCGTTGGCATGGCCGTGGCAAGGGCTGCTGCCAGCACGGGCACTGCCAGCCAGGGGTTGCAGCAGGGAGAGAGGCCAGCCCAGGGGAACAGCCCAGTCGCTGCGCCGGGCTGACACCCAGCCCTGGTGCCAAAGGTGGCAGCTGTGGCGTGGGAGCTGCAGCCTGGTGCGGTGCCGGAGCAGCACGCTGGAGGCCAGCCGGGGCCTGGCTGCTGGGTGGTGGTGCCAGGGATGGGGCGGCCCAGAAGCTCTCCCTGCCTGCTGCTCCGGCAGGGTCGGGAAGCGGAGGGGCAGGTGCCTGGGAAGGGTTTGGGGCACTGCTGAGGCCGGGAGGTGCTTTAGCCTGGCGCTTTGTTGGTGGGGACCTCCGAGGGGGAGAGGCCGGAGTGTCCTGCAGTGGAGCTGGTGCAAACGCCTCCTCCACCCCAGCAGCAGCTCCCTGTGCAGGCTGAAGACCTTGGCAGCTTCCTGAGGGACAGCTTTCCTCCAGCTCCTCATCCAGGTACGATGCAGCTGGGGCTCTCCTTTTGTGGCCCACTCTTGGCTTGCACCTTGTCAGCACCTGGGGATGGTCCCTCTTAAAGTTGGGGCTATAATAGAAGTGTAGAAGCTAAAAAATGCAAAGGAAAAGAGTGAGTTGCCACCAGTTCCCACATGGAAAACACAAATATATGAGAACTAAGACTTCTAATCACAAAAGCCAGACTTGGGTATTGAAAAGGACTCTCAGGGGCGTTGGAAACCTCAAGCTTGGGCTGTCTCAAACGTGACGATATGGTTCTGCTAAGTCATAACCAGCCCTGGGGTTTTACCTGAGAAATACCCTGAGAAAGAAATGAAGGCGAGGACATTTATGGCCATCCCCATCTCCTCTGTTGCCCAGGCTTATTTGATTCGAACATCAGTCTCTCCCACCAGTTCCTGTGCAGAGGAACTGATGTACCTTTCTAGGAGCTGCTGCTTCCACTGGAAATTCATTCCCGGAGTCAGATGAGTCGGACGCCTCTGGCAGTTTGCGCAGCCCATGGAGGTCGAGCTGACGATGGAAACTTTCCGTGCTCTCCATTTCAAAAACTCTCCCGAGTACTCTTCTTGCCAGCTCTTCCTTCTTGAACATTTCTTCACTGATGGCAACAAAGACTCCATCATCAACCCACCGAATGGACTGGAACTCGTCACTGCGGGCAGTTTTCTAGAGCTGCTTGAGAAAGGAGAGATCTTTGGTTTTGCCAGCGGTCTCCTCGGAAGAAGCAGGAGTGTCTCTTTCAGTAGTGCTGTCATCACTCCAAGCTTGGAAAGACTACTCCCCCATCATTGCTCCTACAGCAGCGTCCCCAGCTGCTTGATCATCCCACTCAGGAGAGGCAGGAGAAGCTGAGTCTGACGACTCCCCCAGCTCATCCAAGGAAGAAGAGGAGGAGATTTCAGCTGTTGACAGCTCCCTTTGAAACCATCCGGTCTCATTTGGGCTCAAGCTGTGTTCTGCAACCATCGCTCTGGCCAGCCAGGCTTGGTCCTGCCAGATGCCAATCAAAGGCCAACTGGCGCCAACTTGCTGACGGCAGGTTCCCATGGGACATTCTCAAACATCACTGTGGCACCCATGCCGCATGGCAGTGACATCGCAGGGTAGCACCCATGACCTGACACAAGGGAGCAGCCAGAGGAGACATTGCTGAAGAGCACTTGTTGTTTTTCACTCCCAGAGCCACTGATGGTGGGACTCCAGAGCCCAGAAGTCAATAAAGCTGCGTTGAACAGCTCTAGGCAATGAGAAGACCGTGCTGTGTTCGGCTGCACCCAGGAGTGGGTCAGCAGGGAGGAGCGGGAACGGCTCCAGCGTTGGGCATCCCAGTGCCCCGTTTCTGAAGTTTTCCAGCTGGGCACCTCTGACACCCGTAGAAATGTCCTTACGGCCTTTGCTGTGCTGGTGGCTCTTGAGCTCCTGCTTCATAGCCTTTGGCAGAGAGTGGGGAGCAGCAGGGCTGGGGCTGCAGCTAGTGCCTGGAGTGCTGGGTTTGTGGGGCCCCTCCTCATCCAGACGTTGCTTCACCTTCTCCATGTGTTACCCTGACTAGGGCCCTCCTGGTCCCCTTTATTTCCCTCTGGGTTGTCCAGCGGTGTGGGGAAGTCCGTTTCCCCAGCTGAATGAATGCAAGAAAATAGAAATCTCTTCCCGTTTGCTGCCCATTTCTTCTCTAGACAGAGAAAGGCTCTGCGATTTGAAGAACACTGCTTCTGCAAGGGAATAGGCATGCACCCATGCGATGCTCCTCTCCCAGATTTCAGCAGTCTCCCGGGGCTGCTCTGTAGGATCAACTAGAATTAAAACACTACGAGGGTTGTGCAAAGGAAATGGAAGAAACGGGAGGTGTGCAACCCCCCCTTTCCTTGGTTTGATTCCTCTGCTTCTCTTTGCTCTTTCAAATGTAGGAATGAAAGCAACAAAATCAATCCTGCTCTGTGAACCTTTTGAATCAACCCCCTCTCTACAGGATCAGGAGCTTTTTCTGTAAAGAAGAGGTCTGATCTCGAGAGCCTAGAAGTCAATAAAGCTGCGTTGAACAGTTGTAGGCAATGAGAGGACCATGCTGTGTCTGATTGCACCCAGGAGTGGGTCTGCAAGGAGGAGCGGGGATGGCTGCAGCGTTGGGCATCCCAGTGCCCCCATTTCTGAAGTTTCTGTGATTCACTGGAGAAACATCTTACAAGCCTTGGCTGCACATTCTTTAAAAACCAAGCAAAATACTCCCATCTCTAAACACTGCAGGACTGCACAGCAGTAATTTCTAGTCTCCCCAGGCACTGATAGTATTTTTGCTCTGAGAGAAGCCTAACGGACTTGTGAAAGATCAGCATCTTTCCCTCTGAGCTGCACGGCCACTTTCGGAGGAGCCCAGCATACAGCTCAGCCCAGCCCAGCACACCAGGACAGTCAAGCTGTGCCTGATACGGGTTGTCATAACCGTTGCCACAGCCACCAGGTACCCTCGTGCTCCAGGCGTGTGGTGTTGTGACGTGGTCTGACCTGACCTTTCAGTGTGCTCCCTCGCCGGCACTGGCTGCATTGTGCCCTTCATCCTTTGGCTTCTCTAGCCCTGGAGGAGTTTAACCGGGAGGAAGATGTTTTGCCTGTTGTTTCTTATATTTGATGAGAAAGGGAAGGGGGTGCATGAATAAATTTGCCCTGAAATACCTTCTCTGGATTTGAAGAGCTGGCAACAGTTTTTCCTGAGCCAGCTTTACATGTTCAACATAAGCTATACTGACCCAATGCTCCAGGCACTACACAATACTGACAAAGCTCCTTCAGGCCAGCATTTAAAGATCTGTGAACATCTCCTATGCCCCGAGATCTGTCCTGCAGCTGGAAAAGCTCCGTGGTAGCGAACTAGCCTTTCAAAGGGACTATGAATACTTCTGCCAAGCAAGGGGAAAGGGTTTCTCTTGTTGAAACACATTGCAGCAAGCCTTTGTGTGGCATAAACCCTCTTCATGCCAGCAGGATCAACCCATCTATGGTACCTGGTATCTGAGCTCCTGCTTCTCTCTCTCTCACAGCCCAGTGTGAGGCAGGTTGGCTGTAGCATTTTGTGAGCTCTATAACAGGGGAGGCTATTTCTAAGGTGACAGAGAACCAGCAGACAGCTGAGAGCCCAGAACAACCCCTGAGCTCACCTTGTTAGCAGTCCCAGGTTACTGTTCTCTAACAATCTCTTCTAAGCATTGGCTAAGTTTGGAAGCAGTGCTAAAAGCAGGCTTGCTGCTATCATGCCAACGAATGAAGAGCTTGTCAACAGAGGGAGATTCACCAGCAGCAGGACAAGGGAGCAGCACAAACATTACTGTACAGTATTTCCTCTATAGAATGGTTTATATCTAAGCGTGAGTCTTTCAAAATGCTGTAATAGAGCTTTAATACTGCATTAAGTGCTGGGAAATGGAAGAGCAGAAGGTATTTCACCGTCTACCTTCAGACTTTTGCAAATGGATTGCAAAATCCTCCACCCAAAACACAGATTCAACTAACAAGCCAGTTCCTAACACATTCTGACCCTTGAAAAGTGTCCATATTCAGCTTTTGGCTTTCACTTAATCTCTGGAAAATCCTCAGCAATTTAGGCTTGCTCCAAGGGTGGAGCTCACCAAGTGTTCACACAAGCCAAGGAACAGCAAGCAACATGCAGTTGCTGGCAGCAGGGCAAACCCTGTGAGGTGGAGAGCCAGGACCCAGTGATCGCAGCCACCTCTCCCATCTCTACCTTCAGGAAGCGACTCATTCCATTCTCTCCTGCGAAAGCAGAAAGGGAAAGAAAGAAGAAAGGAGCTGGTTGTCACAGGAAGATGGACAAGTCAAAAAAAGAGAGGTGCTACAGCTACACTGATTTTGAGATGTGCTGCTTTGAGTCATCCTGAGGCGTGGGAAAAGCCACTGTCCCCTGCAGCACCTCCAGCCTTCTCAGAAGAATTCATTTCCCACCACAAGTCACCCAGCCCTGCATTTCTTGGTCAGGTTTACTCCCTCTTGGAAAGCAGACACATTCCTCTGCTTCTGCCTTTCAGCTCAATGCCAGGTCTGCAATGCACCCGATAGATAAACCAAGCCCTATCAAGACCAAGAGCATTCTTGTCTATCACTGTACCTCGTTGTACGAGATCTTTTTTATCAACTCCTGGAGATGTGGGAAGCAGCTGGAACCCGGGATCCATGGGAGGAAGGGACAGCATATCAGGCGTCTCAAAAATGGAAATATCAGAAAAGTTGGCTCGAACCAAGTGAGGCAGACAAAGCCCATAACCCCTGCCAGGAGGACGAGCAATGCAAACAGCGGATGCCTGTATCTGAAGTAGAGATTTTTCTCCCAGTCACAGCAGAGGAATGTGTTTTAAGTAGCTGGCTTTTGGCCTTCTGCTTTGTTTACTCTTCCAAAGACCAAACCAAAACTGACGCCATATCCCGCTTTACTGAAGCACGGAAGGAAGCATCTGGGAAGGCGAGGCAGAGCATGACAAAGTCCAGACCAGCCTAAAGGGAGACACGCACAAACCCTCCTGCTCAGCCAGCTGAATATGTAGATATTTATCTACACAGCCTGCTACCACAGCCAAATAGAAAATACCTGCTGGGCTTTGGGATGCTCCAAGCAGCCAGGAAGAGAACAGGGGGAATATCACACTCAACTGCTCCTCAGGATTTGCTTGGTTTCTTGAATAACCACCAGAAGGACCAGACCTTCAGCTGACGTGAGCAGGCTCCACAGCCTCCACCATAGCTGCATTCATACTTACACCAGTTCAAGAGCCGCATGGCTACTGCCCAATTTTCAAGCTCATGGTAACTTTTAACCTGTGCAAGTAGAAGTGGAAGAGCAGAATGAGGAAGTGATCCACTGAAACTTGTCCTGTGTGAGGGACTTCCCTGGAGAACCAGCACGAGAAAGGCGCTGCCTGCCCAGAGAAGTGCCACACTGAACCAGGCGCTGGAGAATGGCCAAGCACTGGTTCAAGCTGGGTGCTTCATTCACAGAAGACAGTACCTCTGCCAAGTGCGGGCAGTGGCTGAACGCTGTTGTATAATTATATATAGCTGCGGTGCCAGGCCAGTTGTTT